CTGGGCATGCACCGGCTCCTGAATGTACCTGAACCAGCTCCAGGGTTGGTCAAGTCTGGTCTTGAAAGAGCTTACACTCGGTGCCGTTACAACACTTTCTGGCATATTGTTCCAAGAGTTCACAACTCTCACTCTGAAAAAGTTTGCCCTCATAGTTTTCTGGACCTGCACCTCCTTCAATCTTGAGCTGTGACCCCTTGTGGGGCGAGCGTCCGCCAGCTCCAAGTAATGACACTCGACTGAGTAGTGCCCCTTGAGATGCTTACACCTCAGTTAGGTCGCCCCTTGCCCGACTGCAGTATAAGCTAGGCAAGCTCAGGTGCTCCAATCTCTCAGGGTAGTTGAGGTGCCGAAGTGCAGGCACCAATCTGGTGGCCCTCCTTTGAACATTTTCAACCAACTGACAGTCCCTAGTATATCTCGGGGACCAGACGGGGTGACAGTACTCCAGATGGGGAAGCACTTCACTCTTGAAAATCGTTACGAAGGACGGACTGTCTAGATATCTGAACGACATTCTCATAAGACCTAATAATTTATTTGCCCGATTTACCTTCAGCTCATTGTCAACATACACACCTAGGTCCTTCTCACATTCAATCTCAAATAGTGAAGTTTCTTCATCCTGTTGGGACATATGATATGCCTCCTTACCGTTGGTACACCCCAGGTGCATCCTCTTACATTTCGTGACATTGAATCTCAGCAGCCATTTCTTCGACCATTCTTGGAGCTCATAAGAGATCCTTCTGCAGCTCTTCACAGTCCGCTTGGTTTTTGATTTCCCGAAATAACTTGGCGTCATCGGCAAACATTTGTATGGAGGAGTGTACAACGTCAGGCTTGTCATTTATGAAACAAACAAACAACAGCGAGCCCAATACACTGCCCTGTGGCACCCTGCTTGTGACAGGTACAGATGATAATTTCGTGCCATTAATCACCACACACTGCTTGCGGTCATGTAGAAAGTCTTCTATCCACGCTAGGACATTTCCCTAAATTCCGTAGCCTTCCAGTTCGATTTTTAGCCTTTCGTGAGGTACAATGTCGAAAGCCTTGGCAAAATCTAGGTATATATTGTCGATATTACCACCTCGTTCCAGAATATGGGTCCAAATATCCATTACCTTGAGCAATTGTGTTAAGCAGGAGCGCCCTGGCATAAAACCGTGTTGGCAATCCTTTACAAGGTTGTTTCGTAATAGATGTTCCATCGCGGCATCTCTGATAACACTCTCAAGTACATTACATATTATGCTGGTCAGGCTCACCGGTCTATAGTTGTTTGTGGAGTGACAATCGCCCTTCTTAAAGATATTCTTAAAGATAGGACTCACATAAGCCATTTTCCAATCACTGCTGACCTTTTGTTCATCCAGGCATTTACAGAACAGGATCTTCAGGGGCTCGGCAAGCTCGTTGCACAATTCTCTTAGCACTCTGGGATGCACCATGTCAGGGTGGGACTCTTATGGACCTTTAGCTTTGACAGTTTATTTCTTATACCCTTATACCCCAATCTCTAAATTCTCAAATAATATCTACAATTTATCACTTTCGGGAATGTCCAAAAATTTGAAATATGAAATATTTTATCACTTGCAAATTTTATCCATCTTACAGATGTGACAATTTACAAAAGGTTTTTATATTAATGAATATTATTTATGCTTTGACTCAACTAAAATATCAAAGAAAATACATTGATGAAACAAGTGTCATGATATGGACTACTGTACTTCAGGGGAAGCCTTGTGTTTCCAGGCACTGAAGGCTACTACAACAGGTCTCCTCATCCCCTTGCAAGAAGTTCATCAAGTACAAAGTTATCCCCCCACCTCCAATGTCCTCACCTACAGTGTACTGTATTCATATTACTGGTGAGTGTGTGAGGGCAGTGAATAAAGGCAGCAACCAAATCCTCTACTCTGACCAGGAACTGAACCTGCAGGCCATTCACTAGCAAGGCAAATATTCTACTGCCACATGACTAAGGTCAAAATGACTTTGTCCACTATCCTAATAAACATACAACTCCGTAAAGCATTATATATATATATATATATATATATATATATATATATATATATATATATATATATATATATATATATATATATATATATATATATATATATATATATATATATATATATATATATATATATATATATGTTTTATATTGAGAGGCATTATCCCAGTCACTTCAATGCCTCCTCAATATTACCATGTAATTCAATTGATAGTAGGAACATCATAGAATCTAGTCTTATTAAACATACCGAAGCATCCAACATGAATTTGAGTAACGGCATGTACAAGCTGGACAATTTTGTAATTAAGAAGATTGTGATCAGGTGAGAAGGCCGGGTCACTTGACCATCTGACCTGACCACCAACCGTTGTGTGCTATTTAAAGATTAGTAAGGTCATTACCTAATACCTGACCATTGTGGACCTGGTCTCACCCTCCTCTGTATATATACACCTTGATTTGTATTACTCTCTCTAGTCTGTACTCACCCCTGAAGATGTGAATTACACGAAAGCGCTTGGGAACTTCGTGTTTTCTTCTTTCCTTGTGGTTATAGCATGCATATATATATATATATATATATATATATATATATATATATATATATATATATATATATATATATATATATGTATATATATATATATATATATATATATATATATATATATATATATATATATATATATATATATATATATATATATATATATATATATATATATATATATATATATATATATATATATATATATATATATATATATATATATATATATATATATATATATAAATTTATGTAACATTATAAGTAAGTTTTGTATTGACCATCACAAAGGTTAATAATGCTTTGAAAACATTTGAGGTGGATGTAGGGTAGACGATTAGTGGGCCTCATGTTTTTTACCTGACCTGACCTGTTAAATCACCCATTCTTATAAGCTTTTCTTTCATTTGAGTGGAGGTGGTGTGTGGATCAGGAAGTCCCATGTGATTGACCTGACCTGATGTTATGCACTGTCACCCATTGTATATAAGCTTCTTTCAGTCCCTGTAAATTCAATTTCCTCTGAAGATATCTTCAAATAAAGACAAAAGCTAAGGGGCTCCTGTGTTTCCCTTTCCCTGTGTGGTTTTATCAAGATTTATCTTATCCACGTTTCCATTGTGGATCTACATGATACAGTAGAACCTCGATAAATCGGATTGATTGGGGCAGACCCCAGTCCGAAAAATGCGAACGTTCGAAAAAAGCGAATACTGTACTATATGGGGGGGGGGGGATGGAGATAACACTGCTTATCTGTACTGTTAAAAGAAAATCAGTTGTTGTTATGTTATTACTGCATTTCAACAACTAAGGTCTTTAAGTATAAAGCAAGATTATTAAAATAATAATACATCAACAATAAAAATAATATAAAACAAATTTCTCTGAGTTGAAAATCAGACTTAAGTCTGGTTGTCAACAACTGTTTTCACTGAGATGGTTCTTATTTACTATAGGTAACCACAGAATGTCTTATGAATAAAGAGAAAACTGTATACTGTACAGTACTATAAAGATAAAAAAAGAACAAATAAGTGTTGGAGTATATTGTATGTGTTGAAGACGAGTGTAGAGTATACGGTATGTATCTGGGAGCAGCTGGCAGTGGGGAGGGAGGGGGGTAGCACGGGTGGGTGGTTCCCTCCCCCAAGATTTCTTTAACATGTCTTTATGCAATTTCACCATAATTCTCATATAATTTAGGATCATTGTTTACAAAGGACAAACAGCTGATAGGCTTACTGTAGCTGCTTACCACAATGTCTGTCTTCAACACCTATTAAATTAGTACAGTACAGTTGTGTATTTATCACCACTTAATAAATATTATTGTTGTGTATTTATCATCACTTCATAAGTAATATTGTAGTGTACAGTATTATGCATTTGCTTATACCCTGGTTTACTCATTATTCAGTTGTCTAAGTGTAAAAGTAGCCAAAGTGAGCTATCATGTATCACTCAAAGGTAGTAAATAGCATTGTTAGGAAGGTATCTTCTTATCAAATACTATACAGTGTGTTATAGTGACCCTGTAATAAGTTTATTTGCTGAAATCTCACATGAACACATCTTGAATAAATGACCTTCTGATACAGCTTATCCTTTTATTTTCAAGTCATATTACAAATTGCATACAATATTGCATTTTTTCTCTATTACTGAAGATGTTATATTAATCATGATGAACCATAAACCATAAGAGGCCAATCAAATGAGAATATAATACTGAATCAATAAATAAATGAATCTGACAAATGTGGCAACGCCTGATCAGCCCCAGCCTGCTTACATATTCAAGTGTCTTAGTTCTCAGTAGGCCTATAGCAAACCTGATTAGACCACTGTATAGTATTCAATGAATAAGTGTTGATCTTTTCAAAAGATTTTTTATTAATCTTCCCCATTTTTTAAGACATGTACTGTACTTTTTTTTTCTGGTGACCAGAGCACCTCAGAGTTTGAAAATAGTAAATTCCGATATACTGAAGTCCAATTTATCGAGGTTTTACTATATATATATATATATATATATATATATATATATATATATATATATATATATATATATATATATATATATATATATATATATATATATATATGGGCATAAATAAAGTCTGAAGCTCTTTATCCAAGATAGATAGAAGAAACATAATGTTGTATTTGTAGAGAAATTCTAGATTTTTTAAAGTGCAAAAACTGCATGTTTGTAATTGAGCATATGTTTTGTGTAATAAATGTTTGTAATCAGGGACTTTATGCTCAATATATATATATATATATATATATATAAAGGTTGAAGTAAAATTTATTTTCCCATTCCTAAATATTAAATTACAGTTGTGTGGAGTGGTAGTATAGTGAGGTGTGTACTAGAGTTAGAGACTAATGTACTGTACTTGTACTCACTTGTGAGCCTGTGTGTCCATCCTTGCAAGATGATTTCCCTGACTGTTGATTTTGTTGACCTTGTTGCTGCTCAAAGTCCTTACGGTCAAGTGAGAGTGTCATGGGGTCTCGCAGGGACCTGGAAATTCCTGGCATACCTCCACTAGTATCAGTATCCAGGTAATGTAGGCTGATTACTGCTGCTGTGCCAGTTGCATTCAGCACACACACCTCATCACTGTGAAACACAGCAATATTGAGATTCACATGTAAAGCTCTTTTTATTAACCAGAATTAATGTTCAGTAAAGGTACTTGTTTCTTAGTAAAACCCCCATAACTCAGCTTCCGATAAGTAGGCACAGTACCGGATAACCGTTACATTTTGAGTAGTCGGCAAATTGGTTCACAGTTGGAAGGAGTAGAGTCACATGCAAGAACTCAGGAAGCTGGCCCACACTGAGCTTCAGTTTGCAGTCTGTGTACAGATAGTGCTAAGTGTTATGTATGAAGTGTAGTTTTAAGTTTGTCAGAACAATTATTTACAGTGCCTGCGAAGTGTTGAACACAATACTATACGAAACTGTATGCAGTACAATTCGTCTGCCTGTTAACAGCTCATCAAGAAATTGCCCCGAGCTATTGGTAAGTACAGTTGGCTCCACTCCTGTGTTTACCACTTAGCACTGGCACAACTGAGCTATGTGGTTTGCTGATTTTATACTGGACAGCTGGCAACTCGACTATTTTTGTTCACATCAAGCTCGTATTATAATAAATATGTGGTGCTCACTTCCTGGTTGATGTGATTGTTAATTAATTCCTCCACTACGATGTCTTCTTATCTATTCTATTCTGGCTACTGTCAGATGATTTTACTCAACTGGGAAAGTGCCATCTCATGGTCAAGGGTTAAACTAAACTTCGATGCTTCTACATGATATAGATTCAAACATATCAATACGTAATCCATTTGGTCATTAATTCCCCCTTCACCAAAGGAACACCTTACTTAGAACATGAATACATCCCCCTCTCATTCTATTGTAACTTTGGTATTTTCATCTAGCTAGCTCTAACAGTGGTTCCCAACCTTTTCATTTCTGTGGCCCTCTGGACAAAATATGATACCCTCCATGACCCCCAACTACACCTTTCTTTAACAAAGTAAACAAAGCAATGTCACTCGAATTAGCATGCTGGATATGAAATTTTTATATTTTATTATTATTAGTGGTACAGTTGTGGAAATGTGTTCCTCTCCCCCTGTGGTAACCCATGTATCCAAACGGCCAACCCACATGACCTATAACAAACCTCTCCATCAATCACGCCCGTCATTACACGACCAATACCCATTCATTCATAAACAGTGATACTACTACTGTACTGCGACAGTGCCATTTGGAGACACGGGTTACCACAGGGGGCGCAGAAACATATTTCTGCAACTGTACCAGTAGCTACAGAGATAACATAAAACATAACTGCCACACAGGTAAACTGTATTAAATAATCCAAGTAATGGATATGTGAAAAACAAAAACCTCTGTTGTGTCCGCAGAAAATGCAGTGTATATAATCTCACAAAAATAAACTCAATTTGACAACAACTCAGCAAATCAAACTTTAGATGCAGTGCATGTGTACAAAATTTACAAGCATGTAAAAAGAGCACTCAAAAAATTTATTAAAAATTCAGTGGGATGGCTGACATTGCATTTTTGCTACCAATTGGGATATACAGTCACAGTCACAGTCAGGACACAGCAGAGGTCATCTTCCCCATGATGTCAATTATGCTGTTTCAATTTGATGCTCAACATGGAAAACCCCGCTTCACAGAGATAGGTAGACAAGAATGGCAGAAGCACCAGGAGAGCCATTTTTTGCTGATAGTGAAATCTCCGTTAGCCAAAACAATTGCTGCAGATCACTTCCAGGAATGAAAAATTTCTGGGTAACGAGACAACTCTCTCAAAGCTGGAAAAAATCTCTCATCCCCGGAATTTTCCGGGTAACGGAAAAATATTCTTGGAAGATCCAGAAATTGTGCATTACATTATCTCTCGATCCCGGAATAATATCCCCCATCCCCGGAATTTTCCGGGTATGGGAAAGTTTTTTCGGTATTTTCCAGAAAATGTGCTCCCCCGAAAAATTTTCCCAAAGCAGGCTTTGGGAACGATTTTCCGAGAAACTTTCAATTCCAGCTATCGGAGAGTTCCTGGTTTGAGGAATTCTGGCTAACGGAGATATTACTGTACTGTATATTAGGGTAGCAACCCATTGCCACCCAAAACTCCGACAAGCTCTTCCCTTCGAATGTCTTTGGCAAATGAATCGTTTCAGAGTTACAGGAATTCATCTTGCATTGCCTCTGGTATATTCTCCATGAAAAAGTTGACAGAAAAAGGTGACTCCAGATGCTCAAGAATATCGCTCTTCAGTACAGGATCAAGCCACACTAATGCTGTGCTAGTGTACTGCCAATACCATACTGTTTGAGTTTTATTTAAATTTGAATATTGATTACCATCATTAGCTCATATGGTATAAACTGGGACTCTGCTATGATGAGGGTCAAGCCTTATTTAATTTTATTATGAATTCACATGGTTCAAATTATCCCGTGGCCCCGCGAAATTTACACTGAGGAAAAGTTGGTATTGTCAAAGTGCTAATCTGTATAGTAATCTCTCGCAACTGATATACAATTTCCATCCTTAACCCCTGTACAGGCATCCCTCATTTAATGATCTGGATGGGTTCCGGAAAAAACGACCGTTACGCGAAAGGATCACCGAGATAAAACGAGAAATAATATCCTAAACGAGGGATATCAAGAAATAATATAAGTGGAAATGGGACGTAATTGTGTAGCAGTCTCGGACTCGCCACCCAGTAGCACTCAGAGTGGGAGAAACTGAGCTCTAAGCTATGTTATTGTTCAACTCGTAATTTTGGGTAAACATATGGAATTTTATTTATTTTATTTTACTCTGTTACATGCACACACAATTATTCATACAGACTGTACAAAAGAAAACAAAAATATCATAAAGTAAAAAACAAAGGTAATAAACATTTCTTATGTGCTTGGCAGTTAGCCCACAGAGCCAAGGAGGGAGAGAGGGAAGGGGGAGGGATAGTGGGTAGGGGAAGTGGGGGAGGGACAGTGGGTAGGTGGGGGAGGGATAGTGGGTGGGGAGTGATAGTGGGTAGGGGAAGTAGGGGGACAGTGGGTAGGGGGGGGGGATAGTGGGTAGGGGAGTGGGGAGGGGATAGTGGGTAGGGAAGTGGGGAGGGACAGTGGGTAGGGGGGGGGAGGGATGGTGGAGTGGGGGAGTGATGGCGGGTAGGGGGAGATGTGGTAGGGGGAGTGATAGCGGGGGGGAGTGTGGGAGTGATAGTGGGTAGGGGGAGGGGGGAGCGGCATGGGGGATCTCTCAGCTGATCTTTCTCATGTCCCGTGAAATGATTGCCAAAGACAATGCAGTATTTTTTTTTCTTTTATTTATTATTATTTTTGTTTACCACTAATATTTTTATTTATTCCTCATATTTACTGGTACAGTATATTGTACATGCAACACAGTTCATCCAGGCAGTCAACAAGCTGACTCAGGAGACGTGCGTGGCTGCTGCCTGTATGCCGTGACGTCACATAGGGGGGAGGGAGAGTAAGGCTGGTCACAGTTACAACTCACTGTCTCAATACATATGTTCACTTCCCACACATAAACACCCATGCTCTTCATTTTATTTATTATATATTGTAGTTTTATAGTGCAGAAGGGTCGGGATATATATAGATTTTTATTAAGATTTTTTTATATCGCGACTACCAATATTATCGACATTTTCCAATATACTGTATAGCAATGAATCAATCTATTTCGTGAGGGAAATCGGGCAGGAAACATTTCAAATTTACCGCTATGGCAAACAAATATGTTATTTGCTCACCAGAGGCGCCACCGTGGCTGCTCACTCATCCATTCACGCTCGCCCGCACAGTCTTTCTGATTCAGCTCTTGCCAAGTGCGGACGCTGCGCTCTCGCTCTCCAGTCAAGGTCACCACATGCTCTACTACTGTCTACCAAGATGCCTAAGCGTACTAGTATCACACCTCCTAGTTCAAGTGAGAAAAGAAGAGGAAAACTTTCAACATTGGTGATAAGGTGAAGATTCTGAACGAGCTTGAACATGGAGTAAGTGACTCTGTTGTCGCACATTGCTACGGAGTTAATGAAAGCACCATTCATGGCATCAGACAGAAGGCAGACAAGATTCGTGCAGCATTTGCTGAACCAACAGTTTCCAAGACCACCAAACACTTATGGCCACCACTTTACCAAGAAATGGAAGATGCACTCAAGATATGGATTAAAAACATGCAATGCCATAAAGTTACTATATTGGGTCCAATGATAAAGAATGAGGCAATGGAAATACAGACACATCTGCTTCAGCGAGAATTAAAGCCAGCAAGTGAAAGTAAATTCACAGCTAGCCAAGGCTGTAACTAATATTTTTGGTTTGTTCGTTTATGTAGGTGTGGGATTGCCAGGTGAGGGTGGCAGTGTGGCGTCTGCTGCCGAGTCTGGTGTTCCTGAGTTTGGTGTTCCCGAGTCTAGTGTTCATTAGTGCTTTAGTTAGTAAGAAAATAAACTCGTTAAGTCAAGTTTAGTCACTTTTACTGGCCTCCAGAACCTAACCCTATTTTCCCCAATGATTCCATGTAATTATGTACAGTAAGTCCTCGCTTAACGTCGGGGTTACGTTCCTGAAAACGAGACATTATTCGAAACTATGTTAAGCGGAACAATTTTCCCCATTTGAAATATATAAATTGCGGGAGTTATGTTCCTGACCCTCCCTTTGCCCCATGAAATACATTACAGCATATATACAGAAAATTGCTGCCATTTCTATACAAAATAGTGCATGCATATACAACTACTAAGTTTGTATTGGTACTCACTGATGGGCAGAGGTGGTAGAGCGAGTGTGTGGTGGGTAGTGAAGCAGAGGAGGCGGATAGCAGGAGCGGAGGAGGAGGGTGGGAGCGGAGGAGGGCGGGAGAGGAGGAGAGTGGTGAGTCACCGAGACTCTGCTGCTGCCTCCTCCTCCTCCTCCTCCTCCTGCTGCTCGGACTCGGGTTCCTCCGCCGCTGTTTGCTCATCCTCCGTTGTTGTTTGCTCCTCCTCAGCTGCTGGCTGTTGTGAAGAAGCTGCTGATGCTTCTGCCGTCCCGCGACAAAAAAATGAATCCAATGTTGACTGCTTGGTGCTACTCTTCTTCTTCTTCTCCTTATAGACCTCAGTGTAACAACCAAGACTGTCATCAATGCTGTGGTGAACCTTTGAGCTACGTTCTCTGTTTGGGTCATCATCTATAAGGATTTGCATACCTTGCTGGATCATGTTGAACGCTTCTGCCATCCTCTTGGTAGTTAGCATTTGTTGAGGTTGTTCTTCGTCGTCGTCGTCTTCAACAGGACTGTGTTCTGTTAACAGTTGCAGATCTTTGTTGGTGAGCTCTTCTGTATGGGATGCCAGGATGTCCTCAATATCCTCTGATTCCAGTTCATCAAAGCCTGCCTGTCTAGCCAAGCTGAGGATATCCCTATTCACTGCTGGGACTAAGTCCGTGAATCTCATAAAACTGTTGACGCACTCGGGCCACAATTTACGCTAAACACCATTCAGGCAACTTTCTGAAACCTCTTCCCATGTCTTGCCAATTTTGCCAATTGTATGAAGAATGTTGAAGCCACTCCAATACAGGAAGGGGGGGGGGGTATTCTCGGATCGTAGGTTTATTTTCTCTGTCTAGCCTTGAGCAGCTGGGCTTGGTAAGGCGTAAATAATAGGCCTTGAATGCGGCAATGACGCCTTAGTCCATAGGTCATGCAAGTCGTTGAGATTGGGAGGATGAGCTGGAGCATTGTCAATAATAAGAAGAATTTTGAAGTCAAGGTTCTCCTTGGCATAGTATTCCTTCATTGCACGGACGGTGTACATGTTTAACCACTGGCTAAATATTGCGCCAGTTATCCATGCCTTCTTATTTGCCTTGTAGATCACAGGAAGGTGATCCTTAGAGTAACCTTTCAGGGCCCGTGGGTTGGCAGCACGAGAAATCAACATCAGCTTCAAGTCACCGGCAGCGTTCGCACCAAGCAGCAGCGTCAAGCAGATCTTTTGCCGCTTTAAAACCTGGCGCTCTTTTTTCCTCCATGGAGATATAGGTCCTCTCAGGCATCCTCTTCCGAAAGAGAGAAGTCTTATCCATATTGAAGACTTGCTTCGCTGAGTAGCCTCCTTCTTGGACAATCTGTTTGAATTCTGGCGGGAATGTCTCGGCAGCAATCATATCTGAACTAGCAGCTTCACCAGTCATCTTTCTGTTGTGGAAGTTATAACGACACTTAAATCGTTGAAACTAGCCTCAGCTGGCCGTAAAGGTCTCTTCCTTCGATCCCTCACTCTCTGTTTCCTTCATGTCGTCAAACAAGGATCTGGCCTTATGCTGGATAACCATACAGCTCACAGGTGCATTGCGTTGATTCTAGTCCTCCATCTACATAGCCAGCATCTTTTCCACCTTTTCTATCACAATGCTTCGAGTACGAGTTGTCTTTGTTGCACTCAGAGTAGTACCACTTCCAGCGCTAACCTTAATCTTGTCAGTGTTGGTCCGGATAGTACTCACCGTTGTGGGAGTTAGACCTAGCAAAGTGGCTATGTCCACAGCACGTTCCCCTTTTTTCAAATCGGGCTAATACTGTACTGTACATCCATTTTCGTAGCAAAGGTAATGGTCTTATGTTGCCTCTTCACTACAGTAGCATCAGTAGCACTTGATGGATGCTTGGAAGCCATTTTGAATGGTTAGAGTACAGTTTTAGACCAAAAGCACTTAAGCACACATGAATGATGTGAAGTTGTAACAAAGAATAGCTGTGACGTTCCGCGAGTGAGGGTAGTGTGCCTAGCCGACAGAGCGCAGCGCGGCCAGACGAGAGAGGGTGATGCGCCATAAAAAGTAATCCGTGGCTACGCAAAACGATGTTGTACAGTTACCGGGACGTTAAACGAATTTTTGGTATCTAAAGTTTAGCGACGTAGTACCGAAACAACGCTAAGCGGGCCAACGTTAAGCGAGGACTTACTGTATCGCGATTTAGTATATGGCGAACATCCTTGGACCCCATCTTGCGAAATATCCCGACCCTACTGTAGATTATAAAACTATAAAATACTGTACTGTACTGTATACAGTACAATATTTTCTTAATTTCTAAGCCACATTACAGTATTATAATATCTGCACTTGGAGCACAGAATCCCCAATTTTTCCAACTTCCCTCTCAAATTTTTCCTAGTGAGCTGAAGATAGCTATTCTGAAAATTGATGATTGTTAAATAAGAAAGGGTGTTACAAACTTTAAATTTCTAAACCAAAATATCATTAAATGAGGGATACCTGTACCCGTCTCCCTCATCAGAAAGACACTACCCCGACACTTCAGAATTCAGGGTTCACACCTCAGGGAGAGAGAGAGGATTGGCAATGCTAAGTTATAAACACAGGAGTGGAGCCAACTGTACCTAACACATCTTTGTTTTGATTTCATTATACTGTACATACTTTACAGGCTCATTACTGATAAATCAGCAAATTTAATTACTTGGAAAGGTCTCAGCCCCATATGTGCTGAGTTTGGGGGTTTTTACTGTATAGCTATTTACTAATGAGTGGTGAAGGCTAGACGGTTTAAGGTCTTTATAACATAGCAATAAACACTAAGTCAATTCATCAGTAAAAATGGAGAATTGAGGCAATAAACACCTTAATGTGGATTAAGAATAAGCAGCAAGAAATGGATCACTGCCAAGTACCTCCTGCTGTTGCTCAGAAGACATGCACTGTTCAACATCAGGGTTCACCATCCATGCACACAAAAGTTTGCTGCAAACAGTGAAACATTACAGCCAACATAACTAGCTGAACCTCCATTTGGTAGTTGTCATAAGGACCAGTGAGGAAATCAAAAAGATCATCAGATATTCAAGATATTCATCTCACACCTACCCAACCAACACAAAAGAACTGCTCTTTGAATGCTGAACAGAATATTTATCTGAAACATTTATATATCAAATAAAAAACTGAAAAGTATATAAACATCAAACCTCTCTGATTCAAAATCTTTGGGGATTTACCCCTCTCAAATTACCCAGTGTCCAAATTTGGTCAGCAAATTCAGATATTTTGACCAGATTGTGTAGTGGTGGTTTTTCAGCAACTTAAGTGGGTAATTCTTGTAATAAAATGAAGTATGATTAACCCTTTGTAGGATAGGGGTTTTTCTCTGCTGAATAAAATTGTCTGACGTTTAGTTTAATCTCCCCATTAAGATAGTTATAATATATGACTTACTATTTCCTTTTTATGGCCTTCCTAATGCCAACAATGGGATGGAAATAGCCGGCAAGGTATGGTAGCAACTCCCTACATTGTCTAAACCCTCTCTGTTCTTCAGATATCCTGCAATCTGTTATTTTTAATTCTCTCAGTTACAACCCTCACATACAACTTCCATGGATTATTAATATTTTCATTCCATCTCACAAACTTTCTCTCTGTACAAAGTTACAGTTATTGCATTTGATAATTTTTATTTTCCTTATTTTCTAGGCCTATGTCCAACTCTCAGTAAGGTACCTATTACTCTCCCCTCAGTGTTTTAATATTTTCTGCAAGGTCTTGGAATTTTACTACTATTAAATTTGTCAGCAACTTGCCTAATAGTGGTGAATTCCTCATATCCAAGTACAACGTTGCAAGCCAGGGCACGAGCGTGAGAACGAATCTCCATCCTGAGTTGTGTCCACCAATTATCACGGGTTTCCACCTCTTCTGGGGTGTGGGGGCGGTCCAAGAGCTTTACCGACCGGGCACTAACAGTTCCACCTAAAGAATAAAACAATTTTTAAGTTCTGAAAAAAAAAAAAATCTTATTTTAAGTAGGTACAGGAGAGAGCTTGATGAATACTTACAACAATGAGCAATAAATAAAACAATAGTAGATATTAAGCTAATGTAAATACAGTATTTAATAGACAGAACTGAACCAAACTATAGGTGGAAATTATACGTAGGCATTCTTATTAAATCTTGAGTTTTAGTACAGTGCCAAAATAATGCTAAGAACTATTAATTCGGTTACTGTACACCTATGATAAACCCTTTCAATGCAGCTGACACATGACCCAGCATCCATCTGCTGTGTGGAGGATTTTTGGATAATAGGAAAATATAAAGGCAGTCCTCGGGTTACAAACGTCCGACTTACAAACATCCGCCAATACGAACAAGGTTAACTTTAAGTTTACAGTATTTTATTTACCTGTGAACTTATTTTTCTTTCATTTACTGTATTTTGTCATTTTATTTCTTCTTTTATCTTAAATTAAGTGATTTTAGAAGAATGTAAGGACTTAGGCTATGATATACAGTAAACCCTTGTTATTCGCAGGGGTTAGGTTCCAAGGAATGGCGTGAATAGCCAAAACCGTGAATAGCAGCTTATACTACCTTAGTGCACTACAGTATACCTATACCAAACAACTGACCAGCTGCGGCAGCACTCATACCCCCTTTTAACTTTTCTAATAATTAAACTTTCTTTGTCAGGGTCATCACTGACTTCTGCCCTTTACATTTCACTCCACTAACATTAATAAAATACTATCTAGATGAAAATATGCAGCTAAAATCATTAAGGAAAAACTAAATGAAAGTTTAACACAACAGCCAATTACAAGATGCCATTAAATCCGGGAGAGATTGTTCTCTTAAAGACAGACTAACTTCGTTCGAAGTGGCCCCCAGAGAAAATCATATTTATACACCCAGATCAGGAAGGAATGCTGAGAACAGTAAAGGTCCTGGCAAGGGGAGAAATAAGTCTGTAGAATGTACAGTAGATAAATTGATCCCTCTATAATTATTTAAAATTTCCTAAAATACTGGAGAAAATGTTCGAATGGTGCCACAAGTCACGTCCTGTGAGGTCCACGGCTCAGAGGTCTTGGGGAGCTTGGAAAGATTTACTTAGGGAGGGACATATTACATGAATCAGCCCTACATAATTTTGCCGGCGGCAGTATGTGGAAATTATTTTGTATATTTCCCGTAAGATTAGTAATTTGTAAATATTGCTTTGGCAACTGGTCACCAGAAGTTTTATAGCACCTTTGTATATGCCGATGGTGGATTTCTGTATTAACTCATAGTTGAATGTACTTGTCATGGATATATCATGGATTTCTCTGTATAGGTTATAGAATCCATTACTCAAATGTTAAAATGTATAAATAAAGGTGTTAGATTATTACTACAGTACTGCATTATGAATACAGGTACTCCTCGACTTACGACCCACTCGACTTATGACCACCCGGACATACGACCGCCGCAGTCGTACCAAAATTTTGTCAAATTACGTGTTTTCGAGTCCCGACTTTAGTGATTGCGCTGTGTACTGACAAAATTTTCGTTTGTAATTTCCTTTAAAAGGCCTGGCAAGTGTGAAAGTGAGAGTTTCGTGGTGCTGAGAAGAAAAAGAGACACCCATTTTAGATTTTAAATGCACTATTTTCGCATTTTCGACCTGGATTTGGGTCCCTAACCCAATCGTAAGTCTGGGACTGTCTGTAGTTAGTCTGATGAGTGTAGATGGCCATCAGATGATTTCAACGGTTTGAGGTGAGTTAATTGTTTCTCATAAATGACTTTAATCCTGGTGAATTAGTTTATATAAATAAACTAAATTTTAGGAGTTTGTCTGAGTAAAGGATATATGTATTGTACTGATAAATTAAAAAGAAAATACATGTCAAATGGCGATTGGTTCCAGCAGGTTTTAGCATGGGGCAGAGGCCTGTGGACCCTGTGGGATGCCAGAGCTACTTACACCACCATGACAACTAGACCTACTGAGAAAGAAGGACCACTTAGTTTATTTAAATTACCACTAAGTTAAACTCAGGAAATATCAACCTAGTTACAACTCAACATTGGCTGACCCTCAGAAGAACTTCATTAAGGATTCATAATTCCTTCCAGTGGGAAACAGCTAAGTATCTAGCAGTCTGTAGGAGGAAGGTAGGTCTTGTAGGAGTGGGGTGAGGAGAGCCTCTATTGACAAAACTTCACTTTCTTCAACATACACTACATAATGATAAATGGAGTGTGTTGTTCATATTAAACATAGAGTACAGCCACATCAGACATACATAAGGTGACACACACACTAATAGTTCTCTGTATTCCTAAGAAAAGAACTTAACCTCATATAACACTTTACATTTTATCTAAGGAGAGAAAATTTCCCCTTTTCATTGCACAGGTGATGTTGGCAATGGATAAGAATTTAAGCCCTCCTTATTCCATTAATTCTTGTAGGAAACAGTTGCCCACTATTATTCCGTTCACAGTGCTCATCCCTATTTTTTAAGAGGCATCCCCAAAGAAAAATGAGGATCAATTATGTTTCTCTAACAGTGGTTTGGGTGGCTCATTGTCCCAACACAATAAGTGACCAACTTGGAATTATTATCTATGCATCCTTCAATGGGATAATGATGTATCATTAATCTGAGGTCAGTTTCCAAACAGAAGTATATAACAGTTAACAAAAGTATGGTAATTTCTAAACTTAATTACTTACCAAGATGTAGAATAAACCCAATTGGGAAAGTTTTCATTGTAAGGAAAGGATATTCAAGCATGTCAAATGATTCCTGAGTCATGATGGGGCGGTGAACTCCTGTAAGTGTTCCGCCTTTCCCTACAATACCACCACCAGATGAGCCGCCACTCCCTGCCAGACTGCCCCCTGTTAGAGTAACTATATTAGTATTATATATATAATACTTAACAGTTATAGTATTTAACATCTTAATTATATAGTATGTCATAAAGTTTACATGGTTGAAGCATTAGTTTTTTTTTTAAGTTTCTCAAGTCATTTTTATGATGGTGCAGGTGGCCAGAACCAACAGTAGAATCCCTGTTAACCAGTATCCGGTCAACAAGTAGATTCAACTAACTGGCACCAAAATGATATAATACAGGGGTAATAATAAAAAGGAAAAATCATCGAAAATCAGCTAGCATCGTAAGTTTGAATACCACATGCAACAGGGATGAGTGGCCATATTTATTGCTATGATAAACAAAAACATCGACACATAGCATATCATAAAATACAGTAGCACATATTTTATGTACAAGAAATAGCTCCTTCCACACTCAAACCACCCTCTGGATGACGCAACCCACTTCAGCCAAGCACTCAACCAGCTGATCCACACACGTGTGGCTGCCGCGTTGTGTATGCCAAGACATCACATGGGAGGGGGGCATGCAGTTATAAGCCCACAGCCTCCACACACATACACACCTATGCTCTTCATTTGTCTTATTTTATAGTTTTATATTATGTTTTCTTTATTTCTAAGTCACATTAGATTATTGAAATATTTTTTTTCAAATGTTTAGTTTCATTACAAGTAATAATACACAAGGCTGGCGAGTCGGCCACATGGTTATAACCAAGGCCTTGGCTATAACTGCCTCCACACACATTGACTTCTCATACTTACACACCTGTGCTCTTCATTTTCTTGTTGTATATAAATTTCCATATTACTTAGTCATATTAAGGTGCTGTATTGTAATGATTTTTCAGCAACAATAAAGACGGCAGCCCGGCTAGCAAGTCGGCGACGTAGTTATAGCCCACCACCTCCACACACACCTTCAATTCCCACTCATACGCACCCATGCTCTTCATTTTTCCCATTTTATAGTTTTATATTATACAGTATTTTCTTTATTTATAAGCCACATCGTTTATATAGAGCAAAATATGTGGTAAAGAAGTCCTTTTTCTAAGACATTATTTTGAAACGTCAGCCTGTATCATTGAAGGATTTATTGGAGATCCTAAGAGTGAGGTTTCAACCAACCGGAAAAAAATATATCTGGCACTCCTCAATCCCCGTAGGTGTCGGATAACTGGGATTCTACTGTATATGGCAAGAAATTAATATTCAAACTAACCCACTAACCTTTGGGAGTAATGGAGAGATCCGATTCTGATGACCTTCGATTTATGGAGACTCCTGGAGTAGGGGCAGGACTAGCCAGTTTGCCTGAATGAGTTGGAGAGTGCGTGGTTGCTCCCCCATTTGTTGAAGCTGTGGTTCCACTCACTGTTGCACATCCTCCTACACCACTCTCACTCTTGGAACCATCAGCATCAGTGGGTAACGGGCTCCTGGACATGAGGTTACAGCCACTAGTATGGCGACTACGAGACGAGCGCTTGGGAGAGCCTACCATCGATGCTGAGCCAGGCCGGGCCTCCACTAGCATGTCTAGGCTAGAGATGTACACAGGATGGGAGGGACATTTAGCTGCTACATCTAAAGCACACTGAAGCAAGTCACTACTCATGCTTAGACTGCTAGTTACACATGGAAACTCAGGAACGGAAGAAGAAACATAGGATAATAAATTGGAAGAAGTAGAAGAATGTGAAAGGGATGTTAAATTTGGGGAAGTAAAAGATGAGGGGATGAGAGGGAGCGCTGCATCTGATGTGGAATGACACGGTAAAGACAAATAAGATGAGGAAAAGGTTGAATTACAGATATTTGAATTAAATACAGACAGTGCATTAAAACCAATTGAGGATGATGACACAGTTGATAATGTATTATCTCTGCCATTACTATGTTCAGTGTCATTATTAGAAGAAAAATCAGTGTTAGTCTCAGATAAACATGAAAATTCATGCATATGACAAAGATCAGCACCTGTGTGGGTTTGCATGGCTGAATTCCGAGATTTTGTTGGTAAGACCGGAGTAGAAGGTATAACTGCAATTGCTGGAGGGGCTGAGGTAACCTGCAATTCACCAATGGCTGGCTTATATGGTAAATGTATATCCAAATTCATTTGTCTCTTTGCGTAATCAATATTTCTAAGGGTTTCAGGTGACAAACTCTTTAATTCTACCTGTGAAATATTCTGCTCTTTTTCATCTTCATGTGATACATTCGTATCATATCTACTAAGTATTTCCGAGTTTACTACACCTGTGGTTTGTAAATTGTCTTTTCCTTTCTGCTCTTCAAATGTTAGCAATGCAGTATTAGAAGAATCTGTAATTAAGTGCAAGTCTCCATACCTTTCACCAGATTTCAACAATAATTTTTGTCTTTCACTTCCTCCAAAGGAATAACTCTTGATGCGAGGTTGTGAAGCTGTGGCTTCACATGTCCCAAGATTGTCCTCCACAAGCTCGGTACAAGCAAGGAGACTATCACTAGCAGAGTGTTCTGAGATTTGTTGTAGGTCATTCACATCCACAGGACCTGTGAAATGACTTTCAAGAGAACTCTGTGATGTAATTTCCTCTTCACTTATAAAAAATTTCTGCCCACTTGAAGGAACCTTGATCTCATGTTCTGGACTACTGAAGTCTGAGGATATGGGCTCTGAGCTACAAGTGTCCTCGTCAGATGAGATATATTGAATTGGGACCGAGGAATCAAGGGGTCGATTCAACTGACGTTTGGCATAAATACTCTTGTTCAAAGTTGGATCTGAAAAAGCTGTGGAAATTGTCTTGTAGGAATATTCTATACTTGTCACCTCATGCTCTATTTCCTCATCATCAGAATACTGTATGGTATCATCATCTTCCAGTCCTATGACTTCTACAATGTCTGGTGAATCAAGATCCCAATCCTCAATAGACTCTTCTGGAGAGGTAACAGAACCATGGGTCTCCCTACTGCCTATTGAAGGCTTGATTTTCTGGTAACCTCTACCAAGCAGTCGTCCCATGGGACTATGAACTTTAGAGCTGGTCTTCAGACTGGGTCCTTTACCAGCATGTGGTGTCTTGCAATAGTGTCTATTGCTAACATCAAAACTCTGTGATTTTTCAAGTCCCCCTTTAAATCTCATCATTCGCTGAGCTGTCTTGCGTAACCCTGCTCTAAGTGACTCTATGCTGTCCTGATTACCAGAGGGTAAACTTGACCTGCCATGGGAAGTACTTTGGTGTCCACAGTGTGAACCTTGTACTGACCATGGACCTCTTAATTTGTGAGGCTTGGAATGGCCTAAACTGTGATAAGGCTGATGCATTGACCCATGAGGAAGAGATGAATTACGTTGAAGGTAAACGGGAGGGTGCTGAGTAATTGTGGCACTGCGTTTCCGTCTTACTAGTGGCAATCCACGTATCATTCGTTTTGCACTGGTTAGAGCCAGCTGTCCTGGAAGAGGCTTACTCTGTTCTGCAACTGGGTTTATCATCAGGTCAAGCCACTGGGGTGGATGACATGAGGGAACATGTGATGAAAAACTTGGGCTTGAACTCCCATACTGTGGGGAGGTGAGAGACCATAAGCAAGAGGGAGGAGCCGAGTCTGAGGAGAGTTTCTTGGGTATGTGGACTACAGAGATGGGCATGGGCCTGTCAGAGTTAGGAGCAAGAACATACATATTTTCGAGCACTAACTCATCTTCCACACTTTTTTTAAGACATTGATGCATCAACATAAATTGAAAACAGTGAGATAGAAAATTTGAATGAGCAATTCAACACAAAGCGTGTCACAAATATTACACGAAAAGCACCATCATTGCACACAGAAAGGGGTAGTACATTAAATGGTTAAAATATTAGCAGGTTCAAACAAGGAAGAAGAGGAAAATAGGAAGAGAGAATGAAGAAAGAAAATTAATAAAACTTTTGTATAAATCAAGGCCAAGTTTAACTTATAAATTAAAAATGCAAACGTTTACTTTACCCATTAAAAACATATGAAAGAAATGTCCTACCAAACAAGTAATTATCAGCACATGCTAATTTATATATAATTATGATAAAAATAAAAAGAACAAAAATCAGTCAGTAACCTACTGACAAAATTATTATATTGCAAACAATAAGTAGCTTAATTCCCAAGGTCTTTAAACTGTATACCAGGTAGTCATAATAATCCTAGATAAGAGGAATTGCCACTTTACTTAGCTTATGTGGTCTTTACATATTATATATTCAACCTATCATTCATAAAAAAAAGAGGTAACAGATGCAAAAACTCAGTACAATGTATGAAAAAATAGACTACCCCTGTACTGTATTATCCATCTATGTCCTGTGATGGTACTCTGCTTTCACGGTTTTCTCAGAAACTTGGGATCATCATCAGTAAGATCAGAACACTGATCTAAACAACAAATCCTACCATAATAATAAAAACAAAAAAATACCGTAAAAAGATCAGTGGCAGTAAAAATGCCATATATATTGGAAAGACTTATCAAAAGTGATATTACCATTAATGACTGAATATAAACAACAATTTTAATATTTTCAACAAGATATAACAGCTGGAGTGACAACTGAAATATTGTGTCTGTTTATTTAGTACTTCACTATGTAAGCACTGTACTGTGCATTATTTATAATTTTAAGCAATTAATAAGAGCTAAGCAAAAAAGGCTCTACATATTTTGCTTTATCATATACTTTGTTCTATACAGTAATATGGGCTAGGACACCACACACAGTCACCTCATGAATGATCATACACCACAATATTAACACTACCTCAAGGCTTTCCTTTAACCAATGTCTTTGCCTTAATTTAATTCAGGTTTTTGTCACATATTCATATGTGCATCAGTGTTTTCTTCTGATATCTGATACAGTCACTCTCTACATGACTTCTTCATTGACTGGGTGAAACATTTATTAAATACTGTAGTTACAGGTAGCAACAAAACTTTAAATAAATGATCAAATGATATAAAAAATATTTGTCAGTATTCTTCATTGTTGTGTTTTGACATACTGTATACACTTCTAAAAACTTAAATCTCCTGATTAAATTTCTCCAGTAAACAAAACTAAAAATCAAAGTAAAACATCAGCGATGCTCAACGAGGAAATTTTTATGAAAAGAACCCAACACAATCAAAGTCAATTTCACAGATTCTCTACAAGAATACTTAAAGGCTTTAATGGCACAAAATATTTAATTACATAAAATTATATTGAGAGTAACTACCATTAGCAGGCCTGTCTTTCAGAAGTGCCCACAGTAGGTTAACTGTTAGAAATATATACAGAGGGCCTCCCAAATTCACATATTTATATTTTTCGGTCCTCTATTATTCGCGGATGACATTCTGGATGTACCCAAGAATGTCTCTGGGTAGTTTTAAAGTTGTCAGCATTTTCATGGCTAGGACAAGGAGCCATTCGTTCTAGAGACAGCAATTTCCTTTACCTGTACAGTATTGTAAATGTATATGTATGTATGTATGTATGTATGTATGTATGTATGTGTGTGTGTGTGTGTGTGTGTGTGTAGACACACACATATACAGTATACAATACAATACATATACAGTATACAATCAGAAACAAATTTATTAAAAATGTGAGTCTACCCTCAAGTCCATGCTTTATTTATTAAAGCACGGACTTGAGGGCAAACTCACATTTTTAATAAATTCGTTTCTGGTTATTTGTGAGAGTATTTTTCCATTATTATTTATTTGAATGCATTTTGTGTATGTGTGTGAGTCTACACACACACACACACACATATATACAATACGTACAGGTAAAAGAAATAATTGCCCTCGGGGCAAACACATAAAGGGAATAGACATTTCTTTGTACACAAGTAAAAATGCCCCCCCCGGTCAGGAAATGTTATTCACGGATTTGGCAAGTCGCGGCCATTTTGAGAACCTAACCCCTGCGAATTCGGGGGGCCCCCTTACAAACAAACACAACACCAATTTACTACAAACACATATAAATGCATACTGTGCATATCTGCAGTGTATACTGTACTGTACTTTTATTGTATAAAACTAATAAAACATACATGCAAAATAAAAAATATAATATATTACTGCACACTTAAACAGTTTTGGTGGAATAATCTGCATGAGATCAGTACAGTACACTAAATAAAAGCAACATCACACACAATACAGTACTGTATATACAAACAGTCCATGTACATTCCACTTCTAGAACATAAACTTCAATAAAGTACTAATGGTTTTTATTTAGAATAAATGCACAAGTGTTAAAAACTGAGAAACAGTGATCTTCCTTATGTATGGTCACTACAGCACCACAATGCATGCATCCACAGCAGAAAAGCCAAGAGTCTGTTAAGTTACTGGAAAATGAATGTACTGTACTGTACACATACACTGACAGTCTTATATCAAGTTTAAACATCAACTACCGTACTGTACATGTAACTAGCATTTGTAAATACTAATTAAATTACAGTATAATCTACAAGAAAATGCACTATATTGAAAAAGTGGTACTGTATAGTACAGTACTTCTTTATATATACCCCCTGTGTATATATATATATATATATATATATATATATATATATATATATATATATATATATATATATATATATATATATATATATATATATATATATATATATATATATATATATATATATATAAGCGGCTATTAACCCCTGAGCTTCAGGCGAAGGTCGGTGACCCCCCCCCCCACCCCCCAACCACACGGGTATACAGGTATTTAGGAACATTAAAAAATACAAAAGATAAAAATAAAATTTCTAATCTCACAAACTGGCCATGCGTGATATAAACAGGAAATAAATACATGTCCTTACCACAGTTTGGCAACAAAGAGGCTAGAAAGAGTTGAGAATATTCGTGAAGTGGTATGTGTGTGTGAGACACAGTAATAACGAGGTAAACAACACTAATTTGTAGGCAGTATGAGGTACAGGACACTTGTTTTTACTATGTTATTACTATTTACACTATTAACAATCCTTATTACTATTCCAGTAATATATCACGATACTATACTTGTGTTCGGGGGTTGGGGGTAGAAACACATGGTGAAGTGAGTCAAGTCTAAGGGCGAGATTACTACAGGGTACTTCACAAAAGCTGAGAGACTGGGAGGTTCTTATGTGTGAGTGAGTGAAAGATAAATACCTACTTGGCAACATAATCTAATCATGCCTGCCCTTTTTATTCAAATAGGCCCGTGAAAGATCAAAACGTCATACGATGTGACCCGAAGCCTAGGGGTTAAAGTTAATAGATGATAATCAAAAGAAGTTTAATAACCGTAGACAATTTAGAAATATAAGAAGATGTGAATATAAAAAAGATGAAGGGGAACAGTGTAAGAGCATGCAGGATGCCACATTTTGGACCTGGCCCATTTTGGCTACATCTAAAATTATTCTATAAGCCAATATAGTTGAAGCTTCATAGAAGCCAAAGCAGAGCATATTATGATACCTAGACAAGTTGATCTGGTCAAGGAATACTTAAATTAATAATATTTACCTGAGCATCATGTTAGCTCTAGTAATTGATGTCATTTGTACATATTCAACACTACTACAATCACACAAAATCTACTTATCACCATGAATTAATTGCACTACTTAATGTTCTTAATGAATTAAAAATTAAATACAATCAATATCAGTGTTATATTCTAAGAAAAACTGTTTTACTTTTATCATCATCAACTCATTTTTCAAGGACCTACAGTATATATCATATCAAAAACATAAAAGGAAAATCATTTATTCATTCCACAATTTTTGTTTTGTGGGAAAGGGTAAATTGCACTAACCTTCCACATAAGTGTTCTTATACTTCATAATATGCATTTACTTTTTGTAAGAAATTTAGGAATCTGATGAAAATAATGAGTCCTATTGTATCATAGCCTCAAAACCCTTTACAGTCAGAAACTCAACCCCTTCCTTCATTAATCTCTTGTAAGATTGGCCTAGAGCTCCCCCTTATACCTTTAGTCATACTTTAATAAATACTTAAAATTAACTCCCCATCCATTACAAACACTCCACTCGAGCAACATGTATGCAGTTTTTTCCATGCAACTTTCCAATGACTTACACACCCCCAAAGTTCTGCCACTATCTTTCTGCATCACCCAATATCCATTTTTCACTGATTATTCATCTCTACTGCTAACATATTGGTCTAAACTGAGGATTTCACATTTTTCTCAACTTCAAAGTGATCAAAAGAGGTCTAACAGATTCCACATTTTCTCTTTGCCAAAGAATCTAGAGCCCCAAATTCTTATACTTTACACTGATTTACACTCTGCTATCTTTATATCTTAGATCTCCTATCAATTTGTACCTCTGACACCTTGTTCATAGAGAGAACACCACAAGGCGGGTGACCAAAAACAAGTAGTTCTCTGTAGATAACATGCCCCCACCCCCTCCAACTGTGGTTTATTGCACAACAAATGACCATAACTGACAAAAATTGCCAGGAGCAGAACCATTCTGGCACATGCACATCTTCTATCCAGGTACAGCACTTTGAGTCAACAGATTCCTTGAACTTACATGGAAAGCTGCAGGACAAAGTGATTTTACAAACTTTTTATTACACATCCTCAATACACACACTATATCTCCCCCCCCCCATCCCGAC